GCCATCTGTAATGGTAACAAAAACTGAAAATGACAAGTTGATAGAAAAAGCGTTACCAAGGGCTGGATTGGAATTAGTCATTAACTGAACAAGATAAGTCTTTGTGAATGTGAACGGCTTCAAGAAAATCAAATTCACGAATAGAAGAAGCATTCTGGGTAATTTTTGCAGATCCAAAATCAAAATTATTATTAAATTTCTGACTATGATTAGCTATCAATGACTTGTTAATTTCTTCTTTACGGGCATAAATTACTGTTCCTTGATGCGAAACTTTAACGTTATTTTATTTTGTCTGATAATCCCAAATCACACCGAAATTATTTGATATAAATTCTTCAAGAATCAAAATTAATCTTATGTCCATAAAAGTGAAATTAGCAAATCTTCGATAGCTAATTATAGTTGGAAATTTATTCATAATTTGACTTTGGGTCTACAAAATTTATCCAGAATGCTTCTTCCAATTGTGAATTTGATTTTGAATCCTTTCACATTCACAAAGATTTATCTTGTTCAGTTAATGACTTTAATTCCAATCCAATCCTTGATAACAGTTTTAAAATTCTATCAACTTAGTTTTTCAGTTTTCGTTACTATTTCTTCCTACAGGTGGCGCTTCCTTCTCGTTCGCTCTACTCATGTTAGGTATAAATACCAACCGTAGCTTTCCTTTTGTTCCTTTTGTTTGTTTGACGACAAACAATCTCCCAACTTTCACAAATCCCAGCGAAATCAGTAACATCATTCCAAATTACATAATAGGAAAGCACCGGGACATGACAATATATCAAACAAAATGCTGAAAAAATCTACCTAGAAAATACATCTCCAAACTATGCGGAATTCTGAAAAATATTCTGAATGAATATTTCTAAACTATTTTCCGAAGGCGTGGAAACATGCCATAATAATCTTCATCCCAAAAACAGGAAAACGCCCCACGAAAGTTGAAAATTATAGACCGATAAGTTTATTACCTTTCCTCGGAAAAATACTTGAGCGTATTTTTTATATCCGGTTGAACCCTGTTCTCAGCGTACTGCCTAATCAGCAATTTGGATTCCGCAGGAGCCTCTCTACTACTATGCAACTAATAAGGATTATCGAGTTTCTCAGTTCTTCGATACACAAGCATCAAACCACTGCGTTTCCTTTTGCTGGACGTGGCCAAAGCTTTTGACCGCGTCTGGCATAATGGACTTATTTTTAAACTCACCACTCTCGATGTCACCCGAGAGTTAGTATTGATGATCTACTCCTTTATCAGTCACAGAAAGTTCACAATCAGACAGGGTCAACATTATTCCACCCCAAGAAACATTGCTTCGGGAGTTTCTCAAGGATCTAATCTAGGGCCTCTGTTTTACTTAATGTATGCCATAGACTTCCCGATGTTTGACAACAATACTAATTGCATCCCCCCTGCTACGCTGACGACACTGCTATTCTTTCTTCTTCACTCAACCCCAGTCACGCAATAACTCGTATCCAGAGCCGGATGCATTAAATCGAATATTGGTGCTGTAAGTGGCGAATTCGTATTAACGCAATTAAATCCAAACTCTTGCTCATAGGTCGTCACCGCAAGAAAATTGTAGAAATTGCCATGATATTATTTAATGAAAAAGTGACTATAGTCACTCAGGCAACTTATCTTGGCGTAAAATTCAACTCCACGCTTACCTGGAGCCCTAACGTCACGATAGCCTTAGATAAAGCAACAGGAGTGGCAAAAAAACTTAACAACATTATTATCTCAACATCCATGCTTGATCTCACCAGGAAACGAAGGATCTGTATCTCCATCTTACGCCCAATTCTTACTTATGCATCCCCAGCCTGGTACGGGGCTTCAAAATCTGACTATATCAAATTTCAGGATTTTCAAAATAACTTTCATAGAAAAATAATGGGAGCTCCATGGTTCATTAAAAACACTGACCTACACAAAGACCTAAAACTAGATGACATCGAAACTTACATTGGGAAAATAAATAATAACTTTTATACCAAGACCACCAACACTAATATTGTTAATTATGCAGATAATTTCAGGTATCAACTCCTGGAAGAAGACATTAATCTCCACCCGTATGCTACTCATCTTTTTACATACAATATCTAAATAATTGGCCTATTCCTTTCCACTATTGCACATTTATTTTATCTTCTCACGGTTTCAATTCTCGCAGGCATGGGCCTAATTTACTTCTAATTTCCCTTACTCACAGAGTTTACCATTCGAAGATCTTCTCGCGAGGTTTGCCCTACCCAGGGATATATGAGGTGCTGGTAAGAGCGCGATAATTATCGCGCTGAGGCCAGCCTAACTGACAACTATCAAAGTATCAAAGTACCTTTTGTTCCACATTTCTTTGCTCTTGACGAAGAAGGACTAGCCCTGTTTTCCCTCGAAATCAATAGCGTCTTGAATAAAATCTGAGCCAAACACAAAATTTTTGTTTTGCTCATTTTTATGTTTGATTGGTCTGTTGTTTCACCTGAAGGGGGCTCGACAGTTACTTGAAAAAGCCTCCATTCCTTGTATAAGATTACTGGTTCTTTGAAATCTTCATTAACAACTGAACACAGCTGATGCAGGACGTGGAACCTAGTTTCAAAAAGAAATTTCTGAAGTGACATAACTCAGGATAGTATGGTTCGTGTTGTAGTGCAAACGGATTTAAAGATCTTTAAACCTTCCAAGTGATGTAATTTGCGCAAAGATGCATGGCTTTCTTTAATCAGAAATAGGTCCCTGTCATGTCAAATCCGTCCTAGTTGCCTCATTTTTTACCGTCTTACCTAGCTGTTCTCCCTGATTAAGATGTTTCTACTGAGTTAACGCTTTCAAACAGTTTAAGATTTTCGAAACGGCGCAACGATCAGTTTGGGACAGACATGAAAAGAATCACTATACCAACGTTCCCAAGAATGTTAGTAGCTCTATAACATATATGAATGCTTTGATAGATGTTATTTCAAAGGTGATAAGGAATATACTTTAACGTAACGGAACTCATTTAAAAGAACTTTTTGAGAATATTTTAGGTATATGAGTATTTAGCCTTTTAATTATCATATTTTTGTACCTTAATTTCAATTAAGTTTAAAAATCTCATTGTAAGGTGGTGCCCAGATAGTTATTCTGTACAGAGATACATAATATATGGCATTAGGAACAGCTTTAATCAGTTATAATAATAGTGAAAATGTTTATAAAAATTATGAATGAACTAAATTAAAAGTTATACGGATTAGATGTATATCTGAACTTCATTAATTAGAGATTATTAGTGTAAGAAAAATTAAGAAAGAAATCACCCAGGAGTACGTATATTCTTTTCATATCGTTCAGTTATTTAAGATATTTACTATGCTAATCTGTAAAAATAAAGACATGATGGACAGTGGAATAGTAACAACACCCTCTGAAAATTGGCAGTTAGACCAGACGATATCAGTAACGTAATGATGACAAAAAAAAATTGAAAAACTAGGTTGTATATGCTTCTAATGTGTAAATTGTTCAGTTAATTAGGCAATGGAATTGAAATTAAGTAACTCTTTAATTTGAAAGATGATTCTAAAAATTGTCTGATGTTAAAACTTCTGTTGCATAAAATGACATCACTGCAATTCTCTTTAGAGTTTCCCCAAAAACCTTTATTTCTGCGTTATAGCAGATTTATCGAATAAGTACTTATAGTACATTCAGGCACACAATGAACACTGGTTGTGTATTAATGATGGAAATCCTGAAATTTGCAAAGATTCCATTTACCCTTGAGAACTCAATATTTTTCTATGAAAATTCCACCGATGATATCTATCTAATCTTATCACTAGACATTTTAAATCTCATCAAAAGAGCGCCTTTTTTATATTCAGTTATGAAACAGGTACAACGCCTTCTGATATTTTGATGCCGATATCTTTACGGAACAGTGTAACAAAGAAAAGAGAAAATTTAAGTGCATATTTTAAAGAAATTTCATAAAGTTAAAATGCATTTTAAAATGACTTGATTCTCTTAAATCTTATCTTAGTCTTATCAGTTCAATTATAGAACTTGCCATTTGATGTTTCAATTTTTCTGTCCGAAGGTATTCGAACGGCATAGGCAAAGATAAATTCAGTTCAAATTTTTTAATATCGCTTTCACTTATTCAAGCTCATCTCTTTAAAATTCTTACTAAAACTTTCTAGGTAACTCCTTGCTAGTTATGCACAAAAAATGCAAAAGTAGTCATTTTCTATTTAAAAAACAAGTAACATGTACTCTTAGAAAACTTTTACTTGGGTAAGGAAATGTCATCAGGCTTAACTTGATTAAAAAATTAATCTCTTTTGGATTTAAATATGTATATGTATGCATATATATGCATCTTTCAGTTTCAATTAACTTGAGGAGAAAGATGATTTTGTTGAATTTTCACACAAGTACACAATTAATTTTGTTTTATTTTCAAATTCTTATTATCAAATTCTTATTTTCAAATTCTTATTTATTTTATTCTTTTACCTATTACTTTTGTAGATTCAATGCGGACAGCTTGAGTAATTTGGGAATTCCATAGAAACTTCCTTCTCTTTATTTTCTACAGTTTTTAAACCTAGAGTTATGTTATTAACAAGCTTTACACAAAGAAAGAGACTTAATTAGTCCTAAACTTTGTTCAATATCTTTTTATGTTCTTCATAGAATTGTAAAAGCTAATGAATCAAATGTAATATCTATCACGAGCTTCCTAAAATAAGAATAAAATTTCATTAGGCAAGCTAGGTAAAGTAAATTTTTAAAACTTCGCTGTTTGATACTGTAATGTTTAGAAATGCAATTCAAAAAAATCAATGTTAAAAATTACGCAACGACAGAAATGCTTAATTAATTTCTTAAAATCAAATCAAGGTATTTCATATATTTAACATTTGTTTACGAAGTTTAGGCAAAATATAACAGTAATAGTAACAAGAAAGAGAAAAGTGTTCCTCACCTGAGTTCCATTGCGGACGGGGCGGCGGCCAAGGCGTTTGTGAAAGACTTCTGTTGGGAACAGCTGATCCACTTTAACGGAGATAGCTGATCGGAATCTGGAGACGACGATCGTCCTTCGGAAAGCACTCTACCGAAACACGGACCGAGTTTATACGCATCGGTAGGCTTGTCACCTCTTCACTTAATCACCGCTTCCTTACCAAAACAATCAGTCCATCAGTTTCCTTTGTTTTCCCTTTTTTTCCGTTTACCGAAAACATTGTGATTAAAGATTGTATTTTTTTCACTTTCCTTTATTCATATGATCGATATGATTTTCGATATTACTTGAATATTGCTTAAAACATGTGTAAATATATAATTTTTAAGCTCTGATTTTTACACATTTTTAATTTAAAATGGTTCAGAAGGAAAATTTAAACTTTTTACACGGTTTATTTTGATATAAAATTTTAATACAATTACTTACGATGGCTCAGATGGCATCTTTTTATAAATATCTGCTTAAATTTGAACTTTAGAAAAATTTTCTCAAGCAGAAAAGAAAATTTGTGGAAAAGATGCCTTTTGTAGACTTTCATATTTTACAATAAGTTTTTCATTTAAAATGTATTTAAATACATTTTGAGACGTTGTATGCCCCTAAAATAAAATTAACAACGAGATATTATGTAATTGCAAAAGTTATTCTTTTCTCATTTTATACGAAAAAATTAATAAAAGTTCTTTGTTTGTTTATCAAAATCTTACTTTAATCACAGTTCAAAATACTTAGATGTTTCAATAAATGTTACGAGTATTTAGACCAAATTTAAGCTAAAATTAATAGCAAATGCGTTATTAAAAATAGCTTAATTAATACTAAAATATATTTATAAAAATACAGTACTATTTCATTCATAATAAAATAGCAGCGTTGACTTATAGAAAATCTTCTCGACATTTTCTTCAAATATTAGTTCATTAAGGACTTTTCATTTTATGTTCACAGTTCAAAATACTTAAATGTTTCAATATTAAATTTAATAAATAAATGTTTAATGAAGCACTATTATTATAACAAATAATTCTGTGATATAGTTTATCACTATAAACTTTCTTAAAAATTCTTTTAAAAAAACTTTTTATTTTATAGCGATTTCTTATTTCTTAGCTCTGAAGACTGAGCTGGAGAATGAGTGACTTTGATGCAAGTCAAGACCAAAGCCTTAATCAGAATTCTAGTTGAAAAAAATCATCAGAAACCCTTTTTTCTATCTGCGATTTTTTATAGAAGAAAAAGGTGATTCGGTGAATTTTCGGACTGCAACTTACAATGGATATGGTTACCTAAAGAACTGTTATGAACATGATTGACAAAGTTTTACGACTTCTACTAAGATAGTTGCGATAATACTTAAATACCTGCAAATGTTAAATTTACTAATTTGTTTGACAGAAAACTTTTATATTTAAGATGGTTTGAGAATAAATACAGTACGATCTTAATTCATATCCTATAAATGTGAATAACTCTGATATAAAATTAATTACTGCACAATTATACATTAATATAACAGCAAATATCAGTTACAAATTAACAGCTCATATGGAAAGCAAATCCCAAGTATCTTGCATCTTGGTACTTTCAAAGCATTGCGATGGTCGTTAGGTCCTTTAGCCATCCACTCGGACCACTCGCAGTGCTTTGAAAAATTACTGGATGGAAGGTAGTAAAATTTCAACAGCGCTTGTCAAGTTGTAAGCAGTTTGTTGTGAATCATCATTCATAGTATTTATTGTATTAGTGTGTTATCATTCCCTTACCTAGTGTTGATTAAATTCAGGATATTTTAAGTTTATTCCATAAGTTTTAATATTTACATTACGTCACTAAATAAACCTGTTACTGGATAACAATGAAAATGTACCATTTCTGAGCATGAAAAATTCGCGGTAAATGCAAAATTTGAAAAGAGGACAGTAGCATGCAACAATGCAACATTCAAGGTCCCTAAGTGTACCGGTCGAGTTGGCGTCCGACCGGGTTGTCAACCATACAGATAGATTTTGGGTGCCAGCTCCTCGGAAGACACTACTGCTATAACAGTGAGATGAGTTCTGTTGAACTGACGAATATTGCTTATAAACTAGTAGTTAATAACGTTAGAATACTTAGACTCTGGCGCTAGTCAGAGAATATCTGAATCTGTAAGTCAATGTGTGTGTGTGTGTGTGATTATGGCAAAGCTTCGAGGGCTATCTGCCTAAGGGAAAGGATGCCTTCGTGGAGGACTTTCTAAGGGAAGCTGGCTTGTATACACGTTACACATGGGGAAAACCACGAAAACGCCCATGCAGCCAGCCCGTTCGCGGGATTCGAACCTCGGACCGAACTACCAGTGTTCAGCGACTTTACCGCTCGCCACATATTCAAACCTGTTACTATACGCAAAAGTAAACAGTTGCAAGTTATTGAAAACATCATAGACAATTTGCTGATTAGTTATTACAACTCTATAAATGTCTGGTTTGCAATCAACATTGTACTCAACTGGTTTCATAAAGAAATTGGAAATTCCAGAAAAGATACTAATCAAAACTTTAAAAAGCTCAGTAAGGAAAAGAAAGCATGATTTTATTGGAAAATGCTCCATCTCATCCAGAAACTAAGATGCTGTCTAATATGAACTATTAGATGGATATTTCAAACAACCAGCACAATTTCTTTCAGCCTATGGACAAAGGTGCATTTCTAGGCACTTACAAGATTTCTAGATGAAGTTTTAACATTTCAGAAGGCACCTCAGCTGATGCAAAGGACGAATGATATCAGTAATTATTACAAAATTTATAGAAATATAGAGTCTGAGGTCAACGATTTTCAATTTTGTAATTACTGTAAAAGAGCTCCAACCGGTATTAAAATCTCAACACTAACCACTTCCTAGAAAGTGTCTTCAGTAATAATGAAAGCTTAGGCCTTTAAAATGTACTCAACAGCACTGAAATTTCAGTTAACCAACATTAAAAAAGTAATTTTAAAACACATTTCATACATACATACACAGCCAAACAACAAAAGAACACATAGCCAAACAATAAAGAATACATTACATAGCCAAACAATTAAAGAAATTATTCTCTTAATAAGCTACTACGCTTTCCAACATTCTTAGCATTATGATGAGTTAAATACATCTTTTACAATAACATTTTAAAGAGAAGTAAACTTACTTATTAGCACAACAAGATGAGAAGGAAAAGTAATGCAAAACTCTGCTCAACTTTGGAATTGCAACAGCTAAAAAGAACTGCATCACCAAAAAAGAATTACTGCGCATCTTTGTGGTTTCGGAAATAACATGAACTTTAATAATCAATAATAGCAAGCAATGGCCAGAAGATCTGATCATGAGCTGAGCTAAGATCGCTTCTGATCAGATGGGTAGTCGGATTAGAAGAATGGCTGTTAGCCCTTTCCGGCATGCTACATTTTAAAGTCGAAGTTTTGATAAAAAAAAAAAAAAAGGTAGGCGGTGTAATTAGGCCTAGAAGAGTACACAAGTAAAATTTTGTGAAGATAGTGCTTATCGTTTTTATTCTGTGGGTGTGCTCAAAGTGGGCGCACTGATTGAATAGAGCTTTGTAAAGAGTGCTGAAACGAGCATTGTTGTTTCAAATGATGAGATGCGGAGAAACAAAGAATACAGACTCTCAGTTGTCCTAGATTATCAGTGAGTCTAGGGTTTGCCATTTGATTTTAGGCAAGATTTCAAGGTAAAAATTTAAAACTTATATAGAATAAGGAGATTAGCATACAGCCAAAAAAGTAACATAGAAATTTCTTTTCAAACACTTCCTTTTATACCCTAAAAAAATCTGGAAGATTTCCTTGAAAAATGAAAGTATTAAACTAAACATGGCTAAAATATATGGACAGGTTTATGTTGCGCTGCCATCTACTATAAATAAAGAAGATTCAGAGTAACGTATAATAACTTATAAATCCTTTTTCATTCAATTTTTCTGTGCGTACAGAACGAAATTTTTTGGTGTTTCCAGACCGGACACACTGTGCTGCAAAGGGCTAATGATCTTTATTTCATTGCAAATTAACTTGGACGTCAGATACAAATCTCAGGAGCTCCAGAAGTGTTTTCACAAATCAGGCGAAGGCACTTGCACAATACTGGGCTGTAAGCTAGACAAGCAGCTATAAATTTTCTATTGATCTCAAGCCACTGCGTTCGAAGATTATAATTGTTCAAGCGGCAATGGAGACTAAATAGAATTCAGCGACTATGTACAGATGGCATTACTGGTGCTTACAAAGCCTCGCCAATACTTCTCACCTCAACTCAGAATAGAAACGTAAAATCAAAAACTAATCTTGAGCTGAATAATCGGGCGAAGCTGTGCAGGGATGTTTAGCCCTATATCACCGACGTTGACTAACTGGCAACTAATATGTACGGCCATAAAATAGTTATCTTAACTAGCAGAGAAACAACGTAGCCGAAAGGCAGAAAACTCTCTGTTTGAAGTAACTCAGACACCGGCTTATATAGTAGCTTTGTACCCTATTTTGCATGATGCGAGAAACTAAATTCTCATTCTGACAAGAAAGCGTGTGTCGAAACCAACAAATATAGAAAAGGTTGCTTCGAAAATAAAATTAACAGTTAATACAATTAAATAAAACCCCACAAAACTACCCCTGAATATTCTTCAGTTATCACGTGGTTATACATATTATTAGTTACAATTGATTTGATTCTCACCAGCCTGCACAATTTCCTTGAAAACGGCCTAATTATTTCTTTGTTTCAAATTACGCACGCCTTTTGTTAGAAACCTATTAGAAATTTAAAAATATATAAAATATTTACAAGGTTTTCCTTCTGACGGTCAGCACATTGAATAACTTCTGTTTTAAATTATTTATATTTGCGATTTGCTTTTTAGTATAAATTTCAAGAATAAAGGAATGAGACTAGCAGAAGCGTTCTGTTCAGCAAATTCAAGTTTCTGTTAAATGCTGGAATTATTTTTATAGGAACTGGCTTTATGAGAAAACTAGACTTAGATTTATAAAAATAATTATAGAAACCGGTACAAACTCCATTTCCTTTAACT